TATATAACATAATTAATGAGCGAGTAAAAAACAATAATGCTGCGCAGAGAGAGAGAGAGAGAGAGAGAGAGAGAGAGAGAGAGAGAGAGAGAGAGAGAGAGATAGAGAGTAAAAGAAGTATTAAACAAATGAAATTATTAAAAACAAGTTGTAATATATGGTTGAGTGAACAACCTAAATGTGTTGTATTGAGATGGAGTAATTCATGAAATGGCACATTAATGCACCTGAAACAATTCATTTTTAGAGTTTTTGAGATGGAATGGAGGATTAAGGTAGAACACTAATATTATAGATTGAAATATCTAATATGAGTACAGTATATATTGAATGTAAGTAAGATATTTTAGATATCTTCATATTTGTTTATTCCAGAACGGAACAATAATGTTTCTTCAACACAACTTAGTATGAACCATAGTATACATAAACTGCTCAGACATATAACTCCAATCACAACATGGTCTGAAAGTTTTTGAGAGAAAAAAAAAAGAAAATAAGGCTTATTTTCGTATTATGAATACCTGGATATCCTTCATTGTTCCCCATGAATAATTTTTGTGAAGAAAATACGAGTTGTAAGCAAGTGATTGAGAGAGTAAGAGAAATAGAATGAGAAAAGTTTGGCACAAATTTCAATACGTTTTACTTTTCTGAAAATATATAAATGGATATATATATAAGGCTAAATGATACATTTTCTTGTTGATGTTCAAAGTATAAAGAGTAAGTCTTTAAAATTAAAGGGAATGATTAGCTAGATACAATACATGCAAACATAAGCCCTGCAATAGATTAAAAAGTATTGACAGATCAATTGTCAATTGTTTCATTTTGATGTATCCATCGTTCAAAAACTATTTTAGAACACAATGCTCCACAAAACGTTTTATTCTCATCTCATTTAAATAACTTTAATTATTGGAAATAGAAAAAGGGAGTAGGAAAAAATAAAAAAATTTGTTGGCAAAGTTTTAGCAAAAATAAGAGTTTATGATATGATTTGACAGAATACTGCAAAGGCACGTAGCATTTGATAAATATTAGAATAGTAATAGGGATAATCTTATAATAATTTGAATGTTATCAAATATATATCTACTACTGAATCATTTTAATCATTAATATAAGATAATAATCTTCAGATGTGTTTAATCTTGAAGATATTATAGAAAAACCTCGACAATATTGACCATTCTATGTGTATAATGACAGAATAGATAGAGAAATGGAAGGATGGTAAATGAAGAAAGCAAAATGCGTTGAAGAAAATTGAAGAAAAAGGTTAAAAATCTGAAATGGAAGAACGTGAAAGAGGAGATAAACGATATATGTTAAATACAATGTCAAAATGGAAAATGATGATGAAATTGAATTAGAGAGACTTCAAATTCATGAAAACATATAGTATTTTTTTCCAAATAAACTTTTCAAATCATAAAATCGATAAAAACGTTTGATTGAATGGAAAATGCAAAAAGAAAAATGGACAAAGATCAGTATCAGTGAATAAACAGGAATGGTGAAACACAAAGGACAATAAGATGATATGAACAAACATATTCCAGAAATATGGATGAGAATAAGGCAATGTTTATTCACAAAACACTATAGAACGGATAGAGATTAGAGAGGTGGAAGAAGATGGTGGCGGGGGAGCGAGAGATTCTCAATGCTAATGCTTCAAATAAAGTTAACAGGATTAGCCTCATAAACTATTTTAAGGAAACTTTTCTATTCTCACATGCTCTCTTTCGGAATAAGCGAAAATAATGAAGTGAATAATACATTCAAATGGTTTTTCACACAGACACACTTTTACAAAAACACACACAAGCTGTCATGAAGTATATGAACAGATCAAATAGATTGTGAGAGATAGTTCAGTTGTTTAAAACAGGCTTGTATCAAATAAGTTATTTCCTAATATGTCATATCTTTCTTTCTTTTTTTCTTTTTTTCTCTCTCTCGCTCTCTCTCTCTCTTGTGAAAGTCATATAACCCATCACTATGATTAATAAATTTCAAAAATATTTCAATCAGTGCATTTTCTATTGAGCTGCTATTTCGCTTAATCATTATAGTACAATATATCATCAAATATATGAAAAAAATATTCAATGTAAACAGAAAACGCATTGATAGGATTACTTTGGAATTGTGTTAATCCTAGTGATGGTCTCGGACTTTTATGAAGTTTAGCTTACCTTCTCACAGATATCTTCATCCGTTTCTTTGTCAACTGTGTTTTCACTCAAATAGGTGCCAGCCGAAATGGTCATTTCACCAATCTTTTCGGATTTCAGACAGATGCGATGATTGCTGAGAATGTCTTGACCTTCAGGAGAACTATATATAAGAAACGATTAGAGTTACTCACACTGTTGCTCCTAACCTGTTAAAGTTTCATCCAAGGGTGATTTACCTGAGAAACTGAAACAGAGAAAATAGTGAAGAGAATGAAATATAGAAAGACAAAGATAAAAACAAACAATAACAAACACAAAACAAATTCAGACACACGTAAGAGTCGAAACCTTCGTTATAAAAAGAAAATTAAGTAATATAAAAAGTGTATTGAGGCTAAAATAGAACTAATCTTGAAACTAGATGAAAATTAGAAAAATTAAACTTGAGAAGAATCAAAACAAAAACTCAACTCAAAAAAAAGCTTACTGAAAACTCCAACTGGAGCTTTACGGCAGCTTCTTCTATAATAATGGCTTATCGGCGAAATGTAAAAATTGAATATGATACTTTTGTAATGTTTACCAGAGAATTTACAGCTTTTTTCTTCGCGATAAAACCACGAACGACCTTATGAGAAGAAATCTAAAAACACAAAACAGTGAAAAAACAGAAAAATGACTCAAATACCTCAGCTCTCACGATTCTTCTCCTTCTCAGCTCTATAAAATTTTCGCTCCTTTTTGAAACTAAAGATGAAACAAAGTTGAAAAAAAACAACCTTCAACAGCCTCCGGTCCTAGATAGTGCCAAGGATTGACACAAACCATCTGAAGAACGGAAATAAAAAAAATAGATAACAAATAATACCTTGTAATCCATATTACATTCATTTATGGGCTTATGCCGTAAGGCCGCCTTGTCCATACCAGGAAATCTAAAGATGCGCGTAAACGCAACATGCGGTAAAACCGATCTACCAGCAATCTGAAAAAAATAAAGTGAAGTATAAAAAAACCCATACTTTTATGTATCCGCTCTTCGTTTTGGCTATGGCGACGTAACTACCCAAGTTTTCGCCGTTTGTAGCCACGGCTCTGAGAAAAATGTCCAACGATGTTTTGGAGTTTTTTTTGAGCTTACTCACAAGAAAGTTGCAAGCTCTCTTGGAGAAAAACTCATCCAAACACTATACACATAAGATAAGAGAATGAAAACACAAAAAAACTTACTTTCACAAAGAGCATGAGCCTGCTCACAAAATCTACAACAGAATCAGAAGAGCATGGCATTGCAGAAGTACCTATAGCAACTGAAAATAGAACATGGAATACTGAAAAGGATACAGTGTCGATATCGATCACTTGGTTCAAATTAGAACCAAACTGTCAAAATGAGACAAATATGTAGTTTGGTCAGTACCGTTCTGTCTATTTTTTATATTTTTACTCTAAAAGTACGCAAAATGACGTTAGGGTATGTTATTATGTTGAATTGAGTTTTTTAATTTTGTCTTTCAGTTTTATTTTTTATTATTTTTGAAATTTCATTCATTTTTATTGTTTTTCATCTTATTTTTTTATATATTTATGTAAAATTTCTTTATAATTTCTTACTTTTAAGGATTAACAAGAATATGTGTCTTCTTCAAGTGAATTTTGGAAGTTAAAGGTATTTTTTATTTAATTTTGATTCTATTGTTTCATTTATTAATGTTATAGTTAAGATTCATTTGTTATTTTCATTATAAAATCTCGGTTTTCAGTTCAAACCTCCTGATACTCATCCGGTTTTTTTCACAAACAATAGCTTCAACTCGAACAATGGCGAGGTTTCAACAAGGTTTGTGTTTTCCATTTCATTATGCTGATATTGATCGAAGCAATCGATTCAAGATAATTCAATCAGTTTCTTATCATTGCTTTGACTATTTATGCGTTTTAGTTGTCCACGTTAGGAAATAAACCTAGAGGAGCAATCCAAGGATTAACAGGAATTGGGAAGTTAAGAGCTCCTGATTATTCGCTGATTTATTTCCAGCTTTCCAGCTTCACCTCGTCTCATTTTTGTTTCGTGCTTTAGCCGTGTTTGGTTGCATCTTTTCTACTCACTAAAAAAGCATATTTCAGGTTCTGAGATGCACTCGAGGAGAGCCACTGTTCTTTTGTATCAACCAGGCCGAGCTCAGCTCTCCAATGAGACTCCTCATACTTGTATTTATTCTGAGGAGTATTGTTAATCCCATTGTTGTATGAATTACCTGCGGTCTTTTCCTCGTACCTGGCCGTTTTTCGGAGCTATCCTCTTTTAAGAAGCTTTGACAAAATTGGGCGTGCAAGTAAGTATGATCGAATGTAGCGAGGAAGTAGAAGCTGCATCTAAGTTTTTCAGATTTTTTATGCTATAATCGCCTTTAGTGAGCACCATATCGCAAAGTATTCGGTAAATCATGTTTTCTTTCATTTTCTCCATATGTATAATGTTGTTATATTTCGATTTTGAATGTAAAAATATATGAAGAAAAGTAAGCATTGAAAGGTTTATTAGTTCCATAATCATTTATTATATATGTATATATATATATATATTACATAAAATGCAGCTTGAATATATCGACTAGATCAATGTGATTGATTTATCAAAGTATAGAATGCAATCATATCATGATTAAAAAACTATAACTATATTTGGAAGTTCAAAAAAACATATATTATTGAATATTTTGAATGTCGGTTAAGATAGGAATTAGATGAAAGGAATTTAATGACTACAACTACGCTTCTAATGACTTTACTTAACGTTACTATGGATTCCTAGAATTGAATAGCAATATAGGCTAGGATTGTGCATAGAATTGTCACAACATTTCCAATATTATTAGCATCTGTTATAGCACCAAGAGCATTATGTTCAGCAGCTACATTAGGTTCCATTTCGTCATCCTTTAAAAGTTTAAACGTAAAAACTTTAAATTATGTATTGCTATACCTTCTCTTCAGGTTCAACTACAATATTGCAATCGAGTTTACAATTTTCCCCCAATTTATCTGCATGTAGTCCCTACAAATGGATTATTAGAAAATAAATTAATGAATTATAAATTCATACTTGAATCATAGTTGTCAAGGAGTTGCACATCAGTTGAGCAGCTTCTGTTTTATCGCAAATTCCTGTCATGGCTCCTATATAAGCTTGCAACTTTTCGTTAATCTATAGTTTCAAATTATGTACAATAAATTTATATAGTTTTAGCTTAGCTTACCTTCTCACAGATATCTTCATCCGTTTCTTTGTCAACTATGTTTTCACTCAAATAGGTGCCAGCCGAAATGGTCATTTCACCAATCTTTTCGGATTTCAGACAAGTACGATGATTGCTGAGAATGTCTTGACCTTCAGGAGAACAAGCATATGTTAGAAGATAGTAACTCTGTAAATATTCGATGATATAACATTGATATTCATACTTACTCTCAAGAATGTTCCGGAACCTTTGCGATGAGTCAGAAGGTCAGAGACGGTATTAGAAGTTTCAACGATTTCACTATGAGAACATTGATGTGGTTCTGGTATATCATCCTAAAAATATCAATTTCATAATATTATAGCATTCTCAAGATATTTTGTTAATTTCTCAGAGTAGATGGGTAATTTATCCTTCAATGAGACTTCTCTCTATCGTTAGCTCTAGAGTACCCTAGCTTTAGCATTTCTGATTTGTCAAAGTAGATGAGGGGGTAACGACACAATTGAGATCTCCAACCATTTTCACATGTCTTCAAGGGTTCATGAGAGAGCAGCGGAGAGAAAAGAGAAAAAAAGAGATTGAGAGCATATATAAATGAAATAGAGAGTTTCTGATTTTTTGAATGATCAGAAGATGAACCTTCAAACACAATAGAACTAGGGAGACAATGAGGATCATTATGTTTCATGCCTCCTCAACAATAGACAAGAGAACAATTGTAAGGAGTACGATGATGAATCTTTGAGAAATGTGAGATTAAAAAGATATTATAACGGTTGTAAACTTTACCACAGTACCTTAATACATCTATCCAATTGATGCAAATGCTGACATTGCTCTTGTGTTATAGTAACAACATTATCTTTCAATTCGTACAGTGTCCATGCCCAATCATCCAATATTTTAATGAAACATTTCACCAATCCAACATAATTACACTAAATCAATTATTAATATATTAAATAGCTAATGATTATTGAACGTACTGTTTGCGATGAGCATTGCGGAAGAAGAAGTAACAGGCCGAACAGAAATCGCAGCTGCATTTCTGAAAACCAAGAAAACGATTGTTGTGAAAGTCTTCAGAATGAGAATAGGAAAAAAGAAAATAAAACATAAGAATATTGACTGAAAATGAGAAAAAGACAGAGGGGAAACGAGAAAACAAAATCGGAAAACAGAAAAAGAGAGCGAGAAGTCGAAGGAAATATAGAAAAAGAACGAGAGAGGGAGAAAGAGTCGAATTTTACCAAATTCTGTGAAAATAAAAATTTTGAATGCAATAGTTGTCTCGCTCCTATTTTTTTTGAGAAGATTCATGGAAATAGCTGAAAAAAATGCCAGACATCTGATAGAAACAACAACTAGTTTTTTATTAGATGCCTGACAGAATATATTTTCATTTTCAATTTTGATGGAGTAAATATGGAGGATAATGAAGGGGTTAGTGTCAGATATTCTTATATATAATCTAGTTGTAGTATTACACTGACAGAGAATACTGAGAAAAGCTTGAAAATGATTTAGAATAGGAAATTATGCGAAGTTTTCATTTCTTCTTAGATGCTCCTTTAGTAAAAAGTAAAAGTGACTCGAAATTCTGTGTAAGAGTTTTGAGAAAAAATAATTTTTTTTCAGCTGCAAAGGCATATATCGACTGCTGGCAACAAGATGATATGAGCAGGTTTGCCAAATAAACAACAACAACAACAACAACAACAACAACAACAACAACAACCACAACGAACATAAACAGAAAAAACTCTCTCCCTCTCTGAATATATATATGTATATATATATATATGAGGAAAAATAAAGTTGTGTCTCAGATTCTGGTGAGCATGAAATGAAAACAATCAATAGGCTGAATGTAAAATAAGAAGAACATTTCAATGAATTATACAAATTAAATTAATGAATTTGTCGGAAAGGATGAAAAACGAAAATTAAATATTTGTCTAGTTGTTCTAATTGCTTGCCGTTTACAAGACTACTCGATAGCAAATACGACCTTTAAAGCAGTAATTTCTTGTTAGGATAAAAAAAATTTTTTTTGGCTGTAAAGTAAAAAAGTCAAAAAGAAGATTTGGTGAAATCATGAATCGAATAGTAGAAAAAGAGAAAAAAAACAAATTTTCGAAAGGCGGTATGAAGAAGAAGTAGTAGCCAAAAGAGGAAAACATTTATCGGCAGAAGAAGGGAGGAAGCTCAAAGCCTAATGGATGCAGAAGAAAGCTCCAGCAGCACTTTAACGCTCTATTATATTTGCTTACTGCGATACAGAATAGAATAGTAATTGAATAATTATTACTGGCATATTGCTAGAATTTAGAATGAATTAGATATAGCTTATTATATGTGAGCTATTCTGTTTTGAATGAAAAGAATTGAAAGGACACATGGAAAAAAGAATTATAGTAACACATATGTCAATATGACGTACTGTCGATACACATACAGATATTCAACAGGAGAGAAATTTGTTTTAAAAGAAAAAAAAAAGAAAGAGAAGGATTGGATAAATGAACGTCAACAATTGAAAGAAGATGATCGGACAATGAAAAATTCCTATAAAATAAAGAAAGCTGTTTCTTCGCGAGTTAGTAAAATAAAAGTAGTGAACAAAGATCAATGCCTCTTTTTAAACGATTTAGAAGTTCTTATTCAATCAACTTTCTTTCTTCTCTATCCTTCAATCAGCCACTTTATTCTTCCATTTATTCTAACATCTCTGCAGATGCAACACACTCTCTTTGGAGTTGTCGTCTTTGCCATACTAAGCTAACTGAAATCCAATTGGCTTGGGCGCGCTCTTGGCAAATAAAGTAGCTGGCAGAAGCGGAGTATACATAAAGGCTGAAAAAGCAAAAAAAAAGATCTAAAGTTCCACATTACGACGTATAAGCTCAAGCTTCCAGAATAAGAAAAACTTCTCGGTTTTAATCCATTTTTCGTTTACAATAGCCAGTTTCAAGATGAAAGACGAATTAAGAAAGGAGGATGAAATTAACATTTATGTTTGATGAATGAAACCTTCCGCACAAAAAGATTGAGGAGATAGATGCTCAAGCTTTTTCCAAGTTAGAAATGAGCAACAAAAGGGAGAAAAATGCTCGCACAGCAAACAACTTGCCCTGGTTACATCAATAATTTATGAGACCGGGTAGGCTACAGCTGTCTGCCCACCCTTCTAGCCCAATCCCTATTAAGTAAGCTACATGGAGTGGCTACTAGTTGGTTTGTTCGTTTGGTTGACCTCGCAGCTTTGGAAAGGATATGTACCAATTATAAGATTATAGTGCTTCTCATTGTGCAAACAACGAAATGAAGATAGTAAGTCTTCCGTCTCGTAGAGGTCAATAAGAGAAAAAGAGAGACAACACTGAAAACAATTGCTAAATGGCAGATTTCATAATTAGACAAATCTAATTGTCATCTGGAACATTCAAGTTCTGTATGCTCAATTTAGAAAGCTGTACGACGTAAAGCAAAGCTAATTATTAATTATGTGGGAAATTGTTAGTACTAGACCCTTGTTGTAAATACTTGTCTTCAATAGAGCAATTATTTCGGGTATTATTTCAACTATCGAGCGTTAGACTATAGACATAAAGCATTTCGTGCGAATAATTCAAAGGTGAATTGTAATAATTTGTATACATAGTCTTCCGGTCGTTTGTTTCCGCTCAACAAAGCACAAATCTGTACATATTGGGCAGAATTAATGAATTATTTTGGAATAGAAAGAATATATATATATATATATAAGCTTATATATACATAAGTTAATACTAGCTTAAAAGAAATATTTAACAAACTTTGCTTTACGTAGACTATGAATGCAAATATGAGTAGATGGATAAATAAATTATGCATTCAAATAAACATTATAATATAAACATTTGTGAACGAGTAAATCCTGAATATCTCACACGAAGAATAAGAGCGAGCAAATTATTTAAATTTATCGAATATGAATGATTAAGCGTCTATTCACATGAGTGCCTAGAATATCATACTGAAACATCTAAAGTATCTCGTTTCATGTCTCTCTACAACGGACTTGTGGCATTGCTCAATGAAGATGAGAAAATAAAATTTTTTCTCTTCCTCATATCTTAATAATGATTGAAAGATTCTAAAATTGGTTTCAAACATGCTCAGGCAAAATTGAGATGAATGCTAAGAAGCTGCACAATGTGGCACAAGATATTGAATAACTTGTCAGCTGCTACGAAATACGTGAGCAAAAGAGAGAGAGAAAGAAAGAGAGAAAGAAGAATGGAAACGTATGATGTATTCCCTTTGTAAACTCGATATCTCACTAAATTGACGGAAGATATTCTAATTTTCATAGCTCTTATTCAATATGAACAATCATCAAAAAGAATAGAATAAGATATTCTGAGAATATGAAAGAGAATGCGAATGTAGTGAGAAAATGAGAAATATAATGTAACGCCTACTCTGATACTGATATACTAAACTCGAAATGAAATAAAGAAAGAATAGATGAAGAATCTTTTTAAAAAAGTTAAATTCTTTGTGTGACTGTGTTAACATTCGTGTACGTTTTCAATTACAGAAGAAAGAATCCTGAGAACTGTTCAGAAAACTTAACCATCTATGGAAGAAGGGAGAGAGAAGAAGCACTTCAGAGAAGCCATTTACCATAAAAAGTATTATATAAAGGATATGCACACCATCCAAATAGAAAATAAACAAGACATTCGCGGTCGTCCAAAACCCCGAAAAGATATCAGATAATAAAGAAATTGAATAAGTGAAACATGAGATAGAAAATGAATTATTCACTCCTGCAAGTGCATAATTGAACAGAAACGAGTGAAATTATGTCAGCAATCGATATATATGCCGTTTGAACGTTATGTATCTTTCACAGCTTCATCAGAAATCACATGAAATCTTGAGAAAAGAATCAAGATGACAGAATGAAAAAATGATTTAATGAAAAGATTTATTCAAAAATGAGAATGTCTGAACATAGTTCTGATAGATTATGATGAGTAGAGATAGAATGATGAAAATGTAAATAAAGCTTTGAAAAATTACATTTCATAGAAACGAATTCACAGTTTAGAAGATTTAGAATGAGTCTGCTAACTCTAGCTCAACGATATCATGCAATTCTCTTTTTACATTTTTAGAACGTTTAGAATTTCTCAAACTTTTCATTCTGCATTCCCTAAGCTGTTTCTGAATTTCAACAGGAAGGTGTTTGAAACGTTTACTTTTCATCATTTGTTTCACATGAACCTTGGGAGCATAGCTACGGACACTCTCTGTCTCTCTACGTCTGAGCATCTCTTTGAAAATGAGCTCATCGTTTTTTACAGAATCCATATAAGTGGCTTTTGTAATGCATTTTGATTGCAACAACCATGAACAACGTACATGATTCGGCTCTCGCACTTTTGTCATCGACTGCAGCAGAGAATCGGGCGAATAGCGAGGCTTCACTTCAGCATCATAAAAGCGTGATTCAGTGTAGTTGAAGTGAACATATCTTTCACTAATGTTCAGCCACTTGAGTTGCTCCTCTAACTCATCAGCATCATGAACGCGCTCGCTTTTTCCGTAAACGGCACCGAAAGCTGAATTAGTTGGATATTGCTGTTTTGTTAAATGTCCATACCTCGTACGTCTGTGTTGACGAAGAGCGAATTTATTTCAATTTGTTCCCGAGACCGAAATCTTGTGATGTTAGAATAGTAGTTATTAGTCTGAACGACATATTCACTATAATAATTGGAAGTCATTTTAACCATCTCGATGATATCATTTATGACAAATCGAATGCGTTTTCTTATCAATTTGAAACGTTGAACGTATAAAGCTGACAGAGATAGTTTGCCAACAAACGATTCAAGATTTTCCAAAGTTTTCGAATCCAACTCTTTGTTACAGAAATTAAACTCCTCAAAATTTGTCGCTTATATAGTATATAGCTTTAGCTCACCATGATTCCACACTTGTCACATGCTTCTTTATAACCATACTTGGCTGCTACACTCTCGTTATAAAAAGGTGTACAAGGCTTTACTGGAAATTCTTGTGACTTCTTTACTTTTTGCAGTTCAGCGCCAAAATCCATTTTCTCAAGATTTTCAGTCGAGAAGCTAAGTATGAATTGCAAAATAGCCTGATGTAATAGAATTGTGACGAAACATTATAAACGCTAGATTACCACATCGTCATGCGTATTTTTTCCGCTCAGAAAGTTGTTAAACATGGATGAGAATGTGGTAATGGAAGTTTCATCCACAAAGAAAGGGTCAATAATAGCTGATGACCAGTTGTTTGAAATGTTATAAGATTTTTTGATATCTTTAGGTATAATAATCTAGAAAGATAGTTGCTCGTGGAATATTTGGAAAGTTAATGATTACGGAAGATATGAGCTCTCGAGCTCTCATTTTTCTGATATGATCACGTTGAACACTATCAGTAATATCTCTAAAAACAAAAAGCTGTAATGATATCAAAGGAAATGAACACAAACCTCAAATTGTTTTCATTCAACATGATGCTATCACGAGCATGAAACTTAATAAAGTATTCAATGAAAAAGTCACTGTTCCGCAAAGCTGTTTCTCGCATGAACTCTACTCTCTAAAATACAAAGTTAAAAAGAGTTAAGGAATTTCATCATTAAAACAACGTTTCTCATGCTTGTTTCAAATTTCAAACATTCAACAGGATTGAAAAATGTAGATAAGAATTGATGACCGCTTGCTAACCAGATGTGTTGCCATGTCTTATAATAATGATACATCCCAAGAGTAAAGTGAGCTGGACCACTTTCGAAGAAATTCATATAAACCTTTAAAAGTGAGGTTATAACAATAAGATAACTGAAAGTAAAGTTATGCTGACTTTTAGCATACTAGCATGAATTTCAAATTCCTGGTGAGTCCAAGCAATGAAGCGTTCCATTAACTTTTCTTCCTTGTATAAGACTTGTTGAGAGTGCTGTAGCATGCTCCATTTTGGCACATGATCGGGACCGTAATTGTGAACAAACATAGTTGCAACTCAAATTATTTTTTACGAAATAGAGACACACTCATGACAAACTCACAATTTTGTGGCTGAAAAGTGATAATGTTCCTTCTCTCACGAATGTAATCCGAGAAAGTCACCAGCGGAAGTTTCTTTAAGAAATGAAATTTGTATTGTTAAATTATAAACAGGCAGCCCTACCTCGTTCTTCAATTCTCTCTCAACAATGTTTGAAAAATTAATGTTTTTAATGAACTTCATTGTATGGTAACGTTGAAGATCTATCTAAAAAGAATAAATGTACTAGCAATTATAGTTTAATAAATACAATGACAGTTGCTCTAGTTGAATTCTCAATCATAAAAAACATTTTTATTTTCTTGATAAGAAGTTAAGATAAACGTTTTCAAATGTGAAGGTGACCCAAATAGAGATTGGAGAAAAAGAAATAATGAAAAAGAAGGAGTACTTTGAGATTGAAGGCTTAAAATCACAAATTGCTGAGAAAGAATGAATAATATAGCCGGATCAAATCAGATAAAGAATGACATTAACGTACGACAACCTTGCTATAATTAATCTAATAATAAATGATACGTTTACAATTATCAATCTTAACTTGATTCATTTATCTTAGCTCTAACGAATGAGTTTGTATAATCACGCATGAAGTGCAGAATTCAGAAAAAAAGAGCCAAAATGGATGTTGCTATGTACAATATCAACGAGTATTTTCATTTGAGATGTAAATTGCCAAATGCTAACCTTTCCGTGTTCATGACAATTACATGAAAAAAAAATTAAATGAGCTTGTCCTTTGTTTCTAAATGTTGAAACAACTATTACACCTGAATATTATATGAAATGGTGATTAGATCGAATTATTGAAATGTTAATCTAAAATCTGGTGTTAAATCTACGTTACCTTCACCCTTTCCATGTGATGATGAATGATATTTGAACAAACCTTTCTTTTTTGAAAAAAAAAATGATCCGAGTCTTGAATGTCAAAATTTATTTCTTTCTCCCTTTCTCCTAGCTTTTTCATTGTGGGTACGACGTAATCAAGTATATGAACTTCTTTTAGCTTGAAGATATTCGAAGATCTAAATAAATGATGAATTTTATGTTTCAAAAATATATTCCGAAGGTTTAACGAACGCACCAGTTTGTATTTGTGTACTACTGCAAGCTTTTTTTCTCTTACTTCACCTTTCATTGAGCCGATATACTCGAGCATACGAAACAAAACAGCTCCTCGAAATACTTCAGAAAGTACACGCTGAACAGTAAATTCATACTCATGAAATTCAATTCTACAGAGTTGAATGGCTGAACTATGTCTTTTCACAAGATCATTTCTTCCATTCTTACTTAGCTAATCTCGTCCGAAGCCGCCTACGGTAACAATAACGAAACTAGGTAGGCTTCCGATTCCGACGTTGTTGACTCTTGTTATCAGTAAGCAGCAAAACTTGTTAATCATCAACAGTGTGCGAATTCTGAATGGCTTCACCTAAATATAATTTTTTGATTCTCGAAATTGAATCCAGACTATGTGGGCTCATGTTCATTGTAAGATTACATGCGCAAGTTCTTGTACAGTTTATGGTGTTCTTATAAGAAGAAAGTGATTTTGAAATTGAATACAATTCAAAGACTTATCATGATTATGAATTATCAGTTTCATTCAATAAATACCTTTCTAGTCATCACTGGTTCAATCAAAAATTTTTCTTGACAGTAGTTAGAAAGTTTATCTTTGTTCTGTGCATAACCATTAAACGCAATATGTTTGAAAGAAAGGGTAATCTCATGAAATATGATGTTTTCATAAGCAGATGATGATGGGTAAGTGCATTCAGACACATATATCTTGTTCGTTGATGCTGTTGTGTGTAGTGATCATGATTTCGGCTTATAAACCATGACCCTAACAGAGAACAGTATTACGCAGTATATAAACTTCGTTTTTCTGTAGAACGATGCGTCTCATGAAACAGGTGTTTCTAACACTTTCAAGTCTCAAAATATGTGAGGCCTGACAAGTATACCTTGTGTACATACCCACAAACTCACCCCAGATGCTTTTAATTCCGAAGGAAATCAGTACAATGATAAATTCGATCTCATATCATTGAGCGTCATGTAAAGTTTCTTACTCCCATTATAGTTCTTATCATTTTATCGCATCATCAGTGTATAGGGAACGTCTTTCAAAGCCAACGTTTTGTCTTTCACTCTCTCTATTGCAACCGGATCTAATTAATGTCTTTATTTTGAGTCTTTGATTCAAACCTTTCATTTTTGTGAAGTATCTCTTGTTTCAGTAAACTGAACCCATAGCTCATCCGACTACACCTGCAATGAAACAAGATAATGACAGTAATATACTTAAATCTTACAATACTTCATCATTTTTTAAGGTCTCATGCAACTCATCTTCCCTGACGATCCACCAACTGTAACTAAAGAGGATGTTGTTGTGGAAGAGACAAAAATTATTGATGAAGGAGTGCATGCACACACATTCCATCATGTCACTGAAGAAGTGCATAGAGATAGCGGAGATCAGCATTCAATTGGGCATGGAGTTCATCTCGATGAAACCAAATCCATCGTTTTAGATGATATTTTCCCAGTTGAAACTCGCGCTATACACCATGACAGCATATCTCATGAACATGTAAGTAAACCTTAGATCCCTCTTGCGGCTATGTCCTTTCATTGATCTTTCTTTCTATAGGGTGTAGGTAAAAGTGATATTTTCATCCTTCGCCATACAGAGTTCTCGGATTACAATGAAAATCCTGTTTCTCATGTAAGCAATCTGTTTTTTTTTGTTTCAAAAACGATAAGAGATGAAAGAGAAAATGAGGCAAGAGGCAAAGATTGATAATTGCTCTTCGGCCGTTATCTGCAAAACCGCTGATGAATCAACTGATAGCATAACACAAAACGACATGATAATGAATGAAAACGGGAAGAATTTCATCAAAAGCAATAGATTAATCTTTGATAAAACACAAACATTGTTTTTCTACAAAATTTTACATTTCAGATTGTGCTTGAACGTGATGATAATGCATCACAAGTATGTGAATTGATTACTTTCATTACATTTAGCTATAAACTAATTTCATTTTATTAGCAAACCTATATGTTCAGATATCCGTTCATTCATCTATATCGAAAGCACCATCTTCTGTATCTATTCATTCGAGTGTTTCACAGAAAAGTGTGGTATGTAAACAGCATATCTTGGATTCTTACTTACTTTATATTAGCATGCTTCTGACCATCATGTGGAAACCGTAGAGGATCATCATGAGTATCATGCGCCTGAATCATTCCACGAATCGAACGCAAGTGTGAGAAGCCATCAACAGTCCTTCGTTCAGTCGTAATTTGATTTCTGATGCTTTCATCAATACTCATTCGAAATTATTTTAGTGAAAGCTCTGAAAACTTGTTCTTTGGTCGCAAGCAAAGCTACCCTATTAGAGAAAATTACAGAGTATGAGCCTCTGCTAAAAAATATCTGTGATACAATGTTTTCAGGTCAACGAGACATATTCTGATGTTCATCATGGGTCGTCCAATGATATTCATCAAATAAAAGTTAGACAGTATGGGTTCGATTCTTCCGATGTAGAAGAAGTAAGGATTGTAATTAATAGTAGCGCATTCCCTATTTATAAGGAGCGCAAAGTTCGCCATGTTCAAGCATCAGATGATAGTAGTTCAACAAATTCAACAGTGAGTACTGTGGTGCCGCAGAAGCTCGAACATGTACATGAGCACAGAAGTCCAAGCATTGTTTCTGAAACAGAAGTAAAAGCCATATAATTTTTTTTTATGAGGAATTTTTTTCAACCAGATGTTTCACCATTTCACAACTGAACCAGACCGCATATCACTCAATTCTCGCGATGTGTAAGACAATATTGGCAAGATTACAAACCCGGTATCTTTACAGACATATCGCACCTGTTCATCATGGACCTATTATAAGAGATGATCCCAGACCTGTGGAAATCGTCCTTCCTTTAACCGACGATCATAAACATAACCGCAGAAGCTATACCGCTTCGTCTGTTACTACTACTTCTGCATACCACCACAATACACACAATGAAGTAACACAGTAAGATCTAGAAATAACTGAATTTGACTATTGAGGCTGTTCACGTGACTGCTCCAGTAGTGATAGAGAAGAAATCTCACTATATGGAGCAAATTTCTCCTGAAGAAGAGCTGATGCACGGTCCTTGTCAGTTTCTCCATAATATTACGAAAAACATTGTAGCATATTTTAAGCTGTCAAGTTCTTGGCTTCTCGCTTCAACTATGGAGTAAGACCGGTGAATATTGACAAACTAACTCAAATGGTAAGATTTTAAGTACTATATCATATTAGAGTTGTTGAAGATGTACTGTCATCCTGACGGAACTTTCCACCATTCTGGCTACGTCGAGTCCGATTTACATCATATTCATTCTACAAATACTCATGTTTCCAACGAAGAAACTCACCATGTTCACAAAAAAGGCAGTAGTCATGTTTCTACTAACCATAATAACCATGTCAGTTCGAGTTCGCACACTCATAAAGTGGATCCCAATGCTTTTGAAAAAAAATCGGTATCCAAGCAAGAAATAGCTAGAGATCATCACAAGCATCCAGCTGCATCACAAACTCATGGTCAAAACCAGCACTCTTCATCTCACGTTCATGACCATGTTCAAGATCAGCTACATGATCATTCTAAGCACTCTGTCGTCTCACAAGCTCACGGACAGGCAAAAATTCATCAACACGGTCATGATCATTCGAGACACTCAATCGTTTCGGGAGTGCATGCACATGAACACCATCATCGTACTAATTCAGCTGTTCATGGATATGATCTTTCGAGACGGCCAGTAGTTGAGGGTGAACATGGTAAAGATCATCCAAGACATTCTGTCTCAGCAATTCAGAGGCACGAAGTACCTGGTCAGAAACAACCAGCACCTATACATGAACATCATCATTCTGAACATTCGCATGAACACCATCATCATAAACATCTTGCAAGTCAAACTGAGACAGAGCATCACCATAACAACGAGGAAATCGTATTTGAAAGCGTTTGTACTATCCAATATTCGTGTTTTATAACAATTTTTTGTAACAGGAAGTTGAATTTGAACCACAACAGTCAGTAGCTCACTTGTTGGGACGTTATGGAGGAGGACGCAACAAACAAGAACAAATCGTAATTCCTGATCACATTTCTGTGGATCGCGATTTCAACAGAAATGCTCAAATGAAAATTTCAAGAATTTCTGATGTCAACGGAAACAGTATGAAAAAAACTTGAATTTCTTTTTAATCAATAGGCTTAGATAAGTTCCAATCGATTCGAGTTGTCAAGAACGTTCGTCAGTTTATTCATGAATGGGGACACAAGGTTACAATCTTCGGATACAGGGTGCTAAATCATTTCTATTCAGGACTTTGTTCCAGTTTCTCCGACTGTTCGTTCAACGAATCACCTCGAAGCACACGAGCATGAGCATCATCACAAAGATCATCATAACACTCATCGTGATCACGAGAATCATCATCATTATGAGCATACCCACCATCATGAACACAAGCTCGAACATGTACATGAGCATGGGCACAAACATGGTCATGATTATCATCACGAGAACTTGCGAGAGCACGCTCCTGTTAGAATAGCAGAGAGTGTCAAATCAAGCGTGTACTCGGATTATACTCCAAACCAACAGAAACATTATTGTCCTTCAGTTCTATCTATCTCTGAAGAAAAGGTACTCTGGCAATTAGTAAAAAGTTTATACACCTTTTTAAGAAAGAAGAAGCCATTCATATAGGATCAATCGCTGAGAGAATCGCTAGCCTACAAGACTGTTGCGCTGGACCAGCTAAACATCATGGCATTCCTGCTATGGTTAACCTACTTGAGTGAGAAAGAAGGATTACAATAATGTGATAGTTAATGGTAGTAATACACTTCTAAGACAATCTGTCTCATATCATTAGAATTATTCTGCTCTATACATTGTTCCACATAAGTAAATAAATATTAGATTATAACAAGTTAAATAACGTTTTAAACTAAAATGGCCTCTATCCTTCCATCTTTGCATTGTTCATACATATAAGTGCGCGCTTTTTTTCTCTCCGCCCTCTTTCTCTCTCTCTCTACCCGCGCTTTTTTCTATTTCTACACTATTTAAAAATTGTTTTTCTCCAGCCTTCTCCTCTCTCATTGTTTAATAATGTTTTTTTTCTTGATAACTTTGTTACAAAAGCGATGTTAATATTTACCAATTTCATTTTTTTATAACATATGGCTATTTGTTATACTGTCTTTATACTGTAACCATCTGCTTCCTCGGACTTCTAGAAAACACATAAACACATCTGCCTAATGACGCTGACCTATTAACACACACATACACACTCATACAGTCCTAAAAGATACTTACTCAATCTCACTTTCTTCATCATTTCTTTAAATTCGATCTGCATATGCGAGAAGATTGCTCTTCGAATTTATTTTACCCTAAAACGTATCATTTTGAAATTTGATACCGTTTAACATTATTTGTACTTTCTTTGTTATTACTCAGGGTCATATTTCAATCATCTCATTCAAAAGAGTTTAATAAGAGAGTTCTATAACATTTATAAAATGTTATCTCTAGCATCATAAGATGATGAATCAGACCTTTCACAAATATACTAGCGATTGACGTAAAAAACGCCCCTTCCTCCATGAACAAGGACCCTTATAAGGCAAACAATCAATAAATGAGCAGATAAACGCAATGTGTCAACTATTACAATAGTCTGCACATCAGTTTACGTTTCCATCTTTTTCTGCACTCTGTTTAACACACTATGTCTTTCTCTTTATGCTCAATGCATTATCGATTTGTGAACATTCGTGTGTTATCGAACAAAAAAATTTCAAACGTACCTCAACATCTGCATAGAACTAATGATTGTAATATACGTTTGTGATATTATAATAGGTTTTCTCATGTACTTTATTTCATTCATTTCTCCGATTTCATTGTTTCTCTCATTGCATTATCTTTTTCTTGTTGCTTAACGATATGTAACGATTGCTTTCCATGCCAGTACTATGACTCATCTCAGTTATCTTATCGGGCTTTTAAACGCCAAACGAATACACTATCCTCTCTTTTACGAGGTTTTAAAAAAACATTTTTTAGCGAAAAGGAATGGAGGCAATAGCACAACACGATTTCAATGCTAATGAAGATGATGAGTTGAGCTTTCGGCAAGGAGATATTATCAAAGTATTATATTGCACTATGTATTGTAGTAATGAATTCATATTGTAGATTCTGAATAAGGATGAGGATCCTCATTGGTTTAAAGCTGAGTTTAGAGGAGTTGAAGGATTCGTCCCTTCAAATTACATAAAAATGAGTGATACTCCATGGTATATATGACTGAAAAGTACACAAACAACTAATCATAAGCTATTTTAAGGTATTTGGGAAAGTTTTCACGTAGTGATGCTGAAAACTTATTACGGAAGCCATCCACTGAAGATGGTAACTTCCTGGTTCGCCAATGCGAAAGTACTCCAGGAGATTTTAGTATTTCTGTTAAGTAAGAATTTTTTGATATCTATTTATTATGCAAAGTTCTGTTTTCCGATTTCAAAATGATGTCCAACATTTCAAAGTCTTACGTGACAACACTGGTAAATATCTTTTATGGTCGAAAAAATTTAATTCACTGAATGAATTGATTCAATACCACAGGTACTGTGGTTGTTTATCCGAAAACTATGATTTAATCTAATTTATCACAGAACAGCTTCTGTAGCTCGACAGTCCACTATACTACTGAAAGATTTAGCATTTGAAACACGTTTTGTACAAGCCCTCTTTGATTTTACTCCTGCTGAAGAAGGTGAATTAGGCTTCAAGAGAGGAGATGTTATAACAGGTAAGGTTTCCGCATGACAACTGTATGAATTTCATAATATAACTTAAGTTGTGAATAAAGACGATATTCACTGGTGGGAAGGCCTTTTCAACAATAGGCGTGGATTATTTCCTTCTAACTACGTATGCCCGTACAATCCATCGTTACCAAATTTATGAACGTCTTCGGTGACGAAAACTAAAAATTTTATTGGAAAAGAATAATATTCTTGTTATTTTTATATTGAAGATGTAGATTAAACACAAGAAAACTAAAAACGCTCTCTCTCTCTCTCATTTATCTGAATTCGTATCAATATATGATTCCTTGGCTGTATTGTAATTGATTAAATTCGCTACTTTGATTTCAAACATGTATGCAAAACATTTACTTTCAATGTATCTACCTGTAAGATTGAATGAACGTTGACAACTTTCTTTAGACGGTTAAACTGAAGCTCCCACTGAAGAAATGATTCCGCAAGTTCAATGATTAGCTAAATCCACTAAAAATAGTTCAAAACCACGATTGTCCCTACTGAGCTTATTGAAGCTTTTTTTTGTTCTTTAGCTTGTTCCCAGTGACAGAGTGTACCCATTCGTTACATCAGATTGTGTCGACTCTATATTTTTTACACACTGTAATGCGATAATGATCGCGAGAGTCTGTTAGAGAATTTGTATTGATCAGATCTTTTATCTCTTTTGTCTTTTATTCGAAAAGGTGTTAAACGGAGTGCAGATCAGTTAACGAAGCTACGAAAAAGTAAGAGAGAGAAAGAAAAAGAGAAAATGAGACAGAGAGAGAGAGAGAGAGAGAGAGAGAGAGAGAGAGAAAAAGAGATTTTTTTTTGGTTCCTATCACATAGTACACTGAATGAACAGCTTGATATGAAATATTATAAGTTTTCTAGTCACTTCAAGAAAAAAAAACATAGTTTTTTCAAGTTTAACCTATGGTTGATGCTCCCATCTCTTTCTCCAACGATGCAGTAATGTCTGTTTTCGAGTGTTTCTGTTCTTTGATGTCAAATACTCATTTTAAATATTGATTGAAACAACGTAGGTTTCCAAGAATAATTTATTAAATCGATGTCTTCAATAGAATGGTTCAAATCGTAATAGATCAGTTTTCCAAAAGCATGATATTGTATATATACAGAACATTAGGCTGGCAATCGATACATTTTATATATTTACAACTTTTATGAGAACAATGATAGAAAATCGTTGAAAAATATAGTTCCACAAGGACTTTTGGTTATTTTTAAAATATTTTTTTGTGTTCAGAAGAGCGGGAATGGGAATTGTTTTTGATTGACTCTTCGTTTTCTTCATAAGTTGCGGTTCCTGGTCAATCTCTTGCATACGATGAATCTATAAAGAAATAAGTTAATAATACTGTTTTAGTTATTTGGGGTTGCTTGGAAAGAATAAGAAATAAATTCACCCGACAGTCGCTCCGACAACGAAAGTGACTATGTTAGAAACAATTATTCCTACAGCGAATTGGAAAGACGATATGTAGCCATGTTTTTTGTTTGTGATTGCGCAAAAGAAGTCGGGCTCAGGAGAGTTCGGTGGCGTAGTCAGGTTAGAATCGTACTGACGATTACGTTGAGATCTTAAAAATATAATTTAATATTGGTTTCAACATGGATGGTTACTTTGGTGGAAGAACTTCAGGGTGAGAGCTCCAGTCCCACATCCAATCAGTATGCTTACCAGGTGGTAGCATGTCTTGAATTAGCTTGTACTTTACTTGCTCCAAGCTGTCAAATTCAACAACTGGTGAGTGAAGAGATACAGGACTAAATACACAGTACGTTTGGTAACAACGAGGATATCACCTGAGACGTGAATCTCTTTCCAGTTTCTCGTCCAGAGCGGTAGCTTCAATAGATGAGCAGAGGCTATTCCTGCTAGGAGCCAGTTCAACCCATGATTCAGCAGATGATCCTGGATATAGTATTACGCATTATTTAAAATGATTTATAGAGCATCCTTCACACCTGGAGCTGCTTCAACAGCCAAGTTTTCATCAGATAAATGAGACTCCAAAAGGCCTAGACGCTTTCTTATGTTCATCATTTTGGGTTTTCGAAATTCAAAAAAAGACATTTAGAGATTTATATCTCTGAAAAATTGAAATGAAAAAGCGTAACAAGTGCGAGAAAGTAGAGATGCGAAAAAGCTTCCTAAGTGGTCAGTTTGATGTGAACAACTTTGTATTTGTTAAAACAATTGAGAAAATGAAATTGTTTTTACTAACAGAAAAGCAAAGCTTTGGTTGTAAATATCAATATACCACTGGACGAGAAATTGAATGTCGATATAAACGCCAGGCTTTGGTCATGTGAGTAGTATAATAGAGACAATGCGAAAAGAGGAGGGTGTGTGCGCGAGCATACACGCGCAGTATGACATACATAAGTGCAGAAAATAGTGTCCTAAATGGAGAGGCAACAGAGATTGAAATCTTCTTATTGTATTCAGTTGAAACAATCAAACTACATACATAGATACACAGTATGATTAACTCGTTAGTTAACATAAATACTAGTAATGGGAGCAAATCTAAAAAATTATGATTTTGAATTTGTATCAAGCGTTTTTATCATCATCACTCTTAACTTTCATATATAGTTGACTATAAAATTCATTCGTTCTCTTCTGAACTCCAAAATTAATCATACTCTTTTTATTATTACTTTAAAAATTGTCGTTTCTCCTCGTTTCCAAGATTTGACGAGATTACACGTAAATTTTATCTCTCGAGATTAGTTTGTAATGCTAACAAAGCTCGTTTCAACAGAGAGCAAATTTACTTTTCTTCCTCTTTGAAAAATATTACACTGCGGATGATGCTGTGTTAGATTTTTATTGAACACTCACTCATATAATTTGTTACTCTTAGTTTATTTTGGGCAAATAGTAGTTTCTAGCTTTTCAATTTCTTCCTTTAACCATTTGCGTTTTGTATTATTCCAAACTCGATGTACTCTGCTCATAGCATTCGAGGTATCCCAACTTCTTTTATTTTATTGATTGATTTGAAGGTAATACAATGGGAGAAGAACAGCCGGTATACACTCCAGTCACTTCCATCCATATTTAAGAGTTCAGAGTGAATAGTAAGAAGAATGTACGTTATTTTTTTGTTTTTTTTTTTATTTATCTCATTGTAGGCAATCATATTACGATAGAAATAGAAGGTTTGAATCGACATCCAGTCATACAATACTGACACGCTCCAAAACAACTAACGTCAGGTCACTTAGCACTTATGTTGGTAACTATTCAACTCCATCGCTACGTATGACAGGTTTCGAGAGAAAACGTTCATCGGAGAGTCCAGTCAAGCTTTCGAGAACAATCGAAAACAGCTTGGATATCAAAGACGCGCGTGAGAATTTAGTCGAACAAGAGTTTTATAATCGTCTCATCTCGGCTCATCATCGCGTTGATGAATTATTGAAATCTAGAGGACTCAATACTGAAGACAAAAAGCCAAGTTTTGAGAACGACTATTCATATACCCCTAGACAAGACACCTTTAACATTACAGCTCGGTCTTTCCGAAAAGCAACACGCAATCAAACTAATATTTTGGAGAAGACCAAGAATTGCTATGCTGATATCGGCTTGGAAAGCACTAGGCGAAATTTATCTGCTTCGTTATTTTTTCCTCTCTCTACTACTGAGGAAAAAGTAAATTTTGCAACTTGTAGTTCAACTATTGAAGTAGAACCAGATAGTGTTTCAAAAGATGAACTAGCTTTTCTCTCGATGAATATATCTCCAGTCACTAGGGTACACTTATCTGTTAAATCACCTAGACCTGTAATTGACTCACACATTTCACAAGCTTTGAAGAAAGGTACAAAGTGGTTGCATGACTGTTCAGCAGCACCGATCAGATTTGGAGTAAGATCAGATAATAAAGCAGGATGCTCAGACAACAAAGATGAATTGATAATAAGAAAATCTTTTTTTTTAAACCGTGCTCGCCAGTTGCGGACAGTTTTTCGACAAGCTGAAGTTTCTATTCAACATTGCAGTTTTTATAAAGTTTCCAAACGATTCGAAAACCATGAAAACTGTGTCAGGTTGAATCTACGACTAACAGAAAGAACACCATTGAATTTGAATGCGTCCATCGTCATTATTGCAGAAGCCCGACCCATATCTATTCGCGAATATTTCGTTGAACCTAGTATGTCAACTAACTCTACTGATAAATTCGATGGCTCATCAACTCGAATGAGAAGCGATTCAACGCATCTTAACTATACTGTGCAAATTCTCAAAGACACTCAGAATGAGAAGAGAAAAATTAGACGTTTACGAATTCCTGATCAATTCTTGAATATAACAGCAGAGAATAGTAACTGTCCTTCACTTATTGGTGGTTTCATCTACGACTGTCCTGTACCAAAAAAGTCTCCAAATCGTTTCAAGCTATCTATATCTACCAATCAACGAACATCCTCATCCAGCAGTCAACAAACAGCAGAAAGGGAGCAGAAAGACGATGCGGAAAGTTGCGAAACTCAACAAAGAGGGATAGAGCTTACAGCAGAAGCTTCGAACCTTTCGTCTCAAATAGAGCTCAAGGCACTACCAAAAATGTTCATAAGCATTGATAAATCATCTCATAGGGACCACGTTCAAGAACATCCCGTTCTCCGTAAAACATCTCAGAACAGTCGACAAATATCGAAAGAAAATAAAATATTCGATATTCCTATTAGATTGAAGAAAGTGGATCATTCGATTATTCGCCCGCGTATTGTATTCGATTCGCATAACAAATGGGTACCAAGTTGGAGAAAACCAAGGTGAACCTAACCTAAAGGAAATTGAACAGTTTTCATCATCATTTCAGATCTTGTGTTCATGACTGACAACACTAAGCTAACAAGATGAATATCTCTATGAATATGTAATACTGAATCTGAACAACAGAGCGTATACTATTAATCTCGTTAATAGATTGAATTATAATGATCTAGGTTAGTAAGAGAGTTGTATTACTCCACGCATATATATTTATATATTTCCTTATTTTCTTAAAGAATCGATGTCATAAAGTCTAAATCAACACTTGTATATTGCCAACATGGCATGATTCTTATATCTTGATATCATAAAATATGCAGTGTTTCAAGCATGATCATTAATTCCTTCATTTTCAAACAGACATCATGCTATCTACGTTGCGTCAGTTTTTGAATGAAACGTTGAGTAACTGAAAAATTTGAAAATATTTTATTATTAACATTATTTTATCCACAATAAATTGTTTCGAAATAAGGAAACCGATAATTTTTTTCCGACAAATTTATGAAAATATAAGAATTTTAAGAAATAGAGAGCAAACCAGAATCGCTGATAATGAAAGCTTTTTCTAACAGTTGTGCTTGGTTAGGTTAAAACTATAACTTTTTTAGATTTTCGTGTAATGATTATGTAAAATATTAAACGAAGAGATTAGCAGCGAACTTTCTTCTCAAAATAGAAAATTTTAACAATGGCTGCTTGAGTAGATTTGCATTGGCTCGTTCATGTACACGATATACTGGACAAATATCATTAACCATCTCTAATACTTTGAAACGTTCTGAACATAAAACTATTGACCATGATATAGCATTCAAATGTATAGAACCTACTGTTCAATGCGTGAGTTGTATTGCGTATACTGAACAGATTGATTTCAAGGCTGTTCGATAACAAGTTACAAATTATCAGCCAAAAAGAGAAATGCATCATACCTGTAGAAGTATAAGTTAATCTTAAAGAATGCATTATTTCAATTGTTTCAACAATTTTTGGTCTGTCATTGTTCAATACGGTATCTGGTTGAACAGAAAATATTTTTGAGCGAAACTGAGTTTTGTATAGGACATTAGTTAATTCACTCTCATTGGTTCTGCACATTGAAGTTTAGAAGATTAATTGTGGGTATTAACAAATAATTGGAAAAGTAATTAGTACTTGTTCTACGATGCAATGAACACATAACAACACATAGAGCTTCTTTGAAGAATATTTTCCTTCTCCTCTCTTTTAATCATGAATTAATGCTGAAATAATTGTTTTGAAAACTATAAATGTTCGATGATTTTCTGATGATCTTCACAGCAAACAGTATTTTCAGTCATAAACATTATATATGAATAGTAGCTGTCATTCAGTTCAAGAAAAACCTGTTGCTTATATTATGGGCTGTTATGAGTGCTAGTTTATTGGCTGAGGCTCAGCCTGAACTGAAATTTATATGTCTCGCTCTCCCTCTGTTCATAACCGGAGCTCTTTTTCATTTCCGCAGCATTATTGTTTTTTACTCGCTCATTAATTATGTTATATAGTTAAAACTTAATTATATGATCTTTCAATATCAAAGAGTCACTAATCATTGAACTTGCGGAATCATTTCTTCAGTGGGAGCTTCAGTTTAACCGTCTAAAGA